GGTAACATAATCAATTTTCCTTCCTCCTTGCAGCGCGCCCAGACACGCCCTTAATTAACAAAAAAAAATTACATCTTTATTAATAACAAATTAATTATTAAACAAAAATATTAAATATAAACTAAGCAAACGTGCATTGCACGTTGCTTGCACCTAGTATATATATAATGATTTACATAAAGACTTACATATACATGATGTTGAGAGAAATGATTAATTTAGAATTTTTTCAACCAAATAAATGGAAAAAACTACCTCGCTTTCTTTTTGACACCTCATCTTCATATAAACCACTATACAACTTCATTATATACGAGTATCATTATTTTTCTGAAAATAATATTGTACAAATTACGACAAACTTAAGCTTCATATCAAAAATAATAAAAGTAAAAGAATTTTAGAATAAGAATAAAATTGCAGTAAATATAAAATTGAACTCTGAAAACATGAATAAGAGTTAATCGTCCCAATAATCACCAAACTTATGTTTTTGTTTTCGATTGTTCTCTAACGTTTCTAATGTCGAGTTTTGACCATTAAACTTATTAAAATGTTTGGTATTACTCATTGACATGACATTCATTTTACAACTCTAGTGGAATTGATGACATGGTAGACAGAATGCACAACGGCGTCCAAACATTGTTATGCAAATTGACAAGTAAGAAATGCATCTCTGATTGCTTAATATACCTTTGGAAGGTGTCTTTGAGTACTAATTATATTTTTAAATTTTAAAGACATTATTGATTGTTCATTATACTTTAAGGTGGTTGAATTTTGGCTACTAAACTTGTAAAACTAATGCTTGCCCGTCTTGAAAATTTAGGAATGATGTCCAAGTGCACTTGCATACAACAAAATTTAATTTTTGTGAACGGATGCTATTCAGTAAAGACTTACCTAGCTTGCTGTGAAAAATGCTTAATTCGATGAACAATTCTTCTTTGTTGTCAACTGAGGATGCTCCTCCAATCGAACCTCCTAAATCTAAATGGGTAGGTGAACAAAAATAAAAGACAAAAAAAATAGAAGGAATGTACTTTTTTATTGAGGACAAAATTCTAGTGCATTGGAGGTGTTCTGCTCTATGTTTTTTGGTTGATGGTAAAATTTCGGTGGACTTTTTTTAATGTAATTAGTAGCTGCAAATGTTTTTATCGATGCACATAATTATGGTGGATGTTTTGGATGGTTTTTGGTGTATGTTTTTGGCTGTAGAAAAATATTGGCTGCAAGCGATACATGTCGATTTCTTGTTAACGTGGATTATGGATTTTTTGGTAGAATATCATACTTATTTTTGTTAGAATTAGTCATCAGAATTGTCAATATTTTCTTTCTATCTTATTTTATCCCTCTTCATCGTCCTATTTCAATTAATTGTTGCAAATGTTGATCAGTATTTATCTGACAAATTGTAGATTCTCCAAGTTAATTTCAATCGATATAATGTGAAAGGTGATTAAAAATGACTTAAAGAGATCAACGTTTGTTGCAAAAATAATTTTTGTTGTATACTAGTGATACTTGGAATAACATTCCCAGATTTTCAGGATAGGCCTACATCAGTTTTACAAATTTAGTGCCAAAACTTGACCATACTAAAGTATAGTGAGCAATCAATGAAGCATTTCTTACGTGTCAATTTGCATAACGATGTTTAGGCGTTACGGGTGCATTCCGTCTGCCAATATCACCAATTTTATTAGAGCTGTGAAACGAATGTCATCCAACGAGTAACGTCCAACATTTTAATAAGTTTAGTGGCCAAAACTCGATGTCTGAAGCTTTAGTAAACAATTGAAAATATAGACATAAATTTAATTATTATTGAGACAATTAGCTGCATGAATACCCAATCTAGCGGTGACAAAAAGCTCGGAGGCTCGCACGGCTCGGGTGTGGCTCGCCAAGCCACACGGGCAGGCCCATGTCAAGGGCCAAAACGGCCCGTGTCAAGCATTAATTAAAAAAAAATTAATATTTTGATTTCAAATTAAAGCTATCTGCTACTACATTGTAGCTGTCCGTGCAATTCGAAATTGTATAAAAAAAAATTATTTCAAATTAAAGCTGCTACATGTAGCTGCCTCCCAAAAAGTTGCTGCGTGCAGGCAGCTATTTTAGCTGCCTGTACGCAGCTGGCGTGCACACAATCACAAAAATATATTCATCAACATCCTAAACAATATAAAAAAGACAATTTGAAATGCACTGTACATGCCAGATGTCGTAAAAATGGATCGTCAACCATAACGATGCCGTATTTCCCAATTATATTTTCTTCTTCTTGCTTTCCCTTTCATTTCCTACTCGAAGCACTCTTTGCAAATTTACAATGCGACATTTCCTACTTTGTCGGATTCAGAAGCCTATGTTTCACTTTTGCAATTGTAAAAATTGTTGCTTGCCCTGTGTTTTACTGTCTCAAAAACAGGAGTTTCAAAGCAACTCTCAAGATTTGTCTATTTTCTTTCTTTCAGTTTGGGGTTGGGTGTACGATGGTTTCAGTGTTATGTTTTTTTCCATATTCCCTCATAAATTACTGTTGATATACTTCAAATTAAGCCAAAGAAAATGAAATAAAGAAGTGTTTCTAGAACCCTAACCTTCCTTAACTTCCATTTTCTTAAGATCAATCACAAAAGACTTCTCGTTAAATCCAATTTTCTGCCAATTACGAAAAAAACAATACATAATTACAACAATTTCATAAATATCAACACAAATAATCGAATAATTATTAGGAAAACGGGTAAGTTTTATGAATAAAAAGAAATAGCTTATGTATTGCCCGAGTATGCTCATGCCTTCACCACGTTGCACGTGCATGAAGGCACGCTGTGCAAGGAGGCACCAGCGTGCCTCCGTGCTGGTGCCGTGCCAGCATGCCTCCGTGCACGAGAATGGAGGCACGTCGTGCTTCCGTCCTCGTGCACAGAGGCACGCTGTCGCTGCGGACGGAGACACGCTCGTGACTCCGTCCACGTGTACGGAGGCACACTACGTACGGGCACCAACGTGCGTGCCTCCCTACACGCGGACGGAGGCACGCTGTGCCTTCGTCCGCGTGCACGGAGGCACTGGAAGGAGATTTTTTGATAACTATAGGTGTGTTTTTTTCCTCTGCACGTGCTTTGACTTGATGTAATTGTTGGTTTTTTCTTTGTTTTTGTTGATTTTTAAATTATATTTACCATTTTCTACTTTTTTTTGTCCTAGATGTAGGTGCTTCTGTAACTGATGTGGAGGAAGCAAAATTGAATGGACCAACAAGGAATCGAGGAAAGAAGGGGCAACTGAAATCACGTGCTGGGGATGCATGGGGGAAACTTATTTCTCAGTCCTCGCAGGTAGATTGACAATTTTCACTTAGTCAATTTCATCACCTACATCAGTAAAACATTATTTTTTTGTGGTACCAAGTTGTTACAATAACAATAGCAAGCTGATCTCTGTCTGGATGAACCGCACTGCTAATTTTTTTCTGCCATTTTGTTTGAGTTCAACTATATAATTGGCTAAAATTGTTGGATTTATTTAACTGTACAGATTTGAAGGTCAACTTTATTAAGAATTAAGATGAAAAGTGATTACATTAACGTGATAGGATTATTCTTTTTCATCTTCATTTTCTTTTCTGATATTGTAACTTTTCCAAGGGAATGATATTGAAATTTGAATCGAGCATTAATGAAGAAATGATGGCAGCGAGATAGGGTTTAGTGTTTAATAAAAATTGTTCAAATTATCTAAAGCTCAGATTTTTTTCTCTTTGCTTAACGAAAGACATGACTAAATACGAAGGATACCAGTTACTATACATATATTTATGCATAGTAAATATGTTGGAAGTTCAAAGATAAAGTCTCAATGCAT